TTCTACAAACAATTGTAACAGTTGCATTGTGGGGTTAAGGCCACCTTCCAAACATTCTACAGCTTTATCTTCTGTGAAATTTACTTTCTGCAGGTTAGGAGTACTTACTTCTCCCCGAGAAAAAGTCATCATATTTGGACACCTCATCACAATTGTGTCTTTCAAAGACAGGAATTCAAAGTTGCAATTCCCTAAGCAGAAGCTTGCTAGTCTTGGAAGATGTTTAAGTTACAAAGACTTCAGTTTGGTGAAAATAACGTCATTCTTAACATCATCATCACCTTGCCATACCTCCTTCAGGTCTTTATTCCGCTCCTCTATCAGTTCTTCTAGATTGGAGAATGTAACCTGAAAATTAACAAAAGAATTGAAAAAGTACACACCTAGAAGGATGAAATGTGTATCTGAAGTAAATCCTCTGCTCGTTTGGCAAAATTGAAATTCGAAAACCCTAATGCTATTGAGTAAATTCTCATAGCTTTCCATTTTTCCGTCTACTTTTTAATTATACATTAGTAAAAGATATTCAATTTAAAATGTCATAGATGTTTATACCTTACTGACCCAGAACAGAGGGTGTTCAATTCGAATTTCAAGTTGGTTCTGTCCACTTATTCCCAGAAGTTCTGAAGCTAGTATCTGCACTTTATCACATTCAATCATCTCCAATTTTTTCAATAATGGCCATTCTGTAGTATTTATTTGAGTGTAGAAACTCTTGAGATTGGGTAGCAACCAAAGATCCAAAGATGTTACTTTTGGAAATACAAAATTAGGGGTTGTTTCCACCAAAGCTAATTGAGCAGTTATTTGTGCTTCTGATTCATCAGCATCTAGTCCTTGAGGTTCAAATATTTCTTCTAGCGAAGCACAATTACTTATCAGCAGCTTGCCTAGGTTTTGTAGTCTCCCTACCATATTAACTGGAAAAATATTCAATAATTTTTCACAATCAGAAACACATAGAAGATATAGTTTGTGGAAGGAATCTTCATCGAGTTGTTCATTCCATATCTTGATCAAGCTCCTCATCTCCCAAATTATAAGCTTCTCTAAACTAAGGAATACCACCTAAAAAAGTTCAATTGATTGCATTAATAACTGAACATAATTGAAGACAAGATGCATGAAAATAATGAAAAAAAATCTGACAACT